CGAGGTTGCAGTGGCCCGGGAGCAGCCACTGCACTCCAGTCTGGGTGACAGAGTGAGACTTCAACTCAAAAAAAAAAAAAAAAAAACTTGAGAGGCTTGGCATTAGGAAATTTTCCGTAATTAATGTGTATTTCATTTGTAATAAGATAAATAAGATTTTAAAACATAATTGAAAATTACATAACTGTTGAAAAATACGTATTCATGTGTTCAAAGACTTTGGGAAAATCATACCAAAAGTAAAAATGCAAGTGTTAGAATGAAAAACTATAGGTTTATTTCTTTTCTCTTTCTTTCAATGTTTCTTATATTTGAAATTTAAAATATAATGTATTCTTCTGGGGGAGGAGGGGTACACCTCATCAATGAACATTTGTATACTTAACCCTGAATTGTACCCCACATCTTTAAAAACAGTATATTATATATATAATGTGAAGCTAGAAAAAAATTTAATTTAGAGATTATGGAATTCTAAATACTTAATTTATTTTCATGGATTTTTACCCAAAAGATATTAAATTTTTATTTAATTTATGTCTACTGATAAAAATTGAGTAATTATTTAAGCCACACTTCTCAGACTTTTAATGAATCACCTGAAGGTCTTGTTTAAATGCAAATTTTTATTTAGTGGATGGGGGTAGGGCTTTCAGCTCTAACAAGTTCCCAGGTGATGTGAATAAATGCTAATCTGAGGGTCATACTTTTAGTAGCAAAGATGTGAATCACATCTATTCTCTAGCAATTACTTGACTCAGGTAATTCAGAACTTATTATAAATAGTTCATTCAACAGATACTTATTAGCCATCTATTCAAACCCTGAATATTTATCCTCCCTGTTGTGAAGAAAAAAAATCAAGACATTATATTAAATTTTAATACACCTATTTTTTTCCAAAAAATAAAAAATATAATGACTATAATGTAGAATTTAACTTCATATTTTCCATTAAGATTGCTGTCTTTCAAATAATATAATTACATGTAACATTTAGCCACAAACTCTTTAGCTCTTTGTCAAGAAATTTTAGTATCAATATGTTCTGATTTTTTCTATGATTCTCTCTCTCTCTCTCCCCCCCACCTTTCAGTTTATTAAATGCAAAGCAGCCATCGCCTGGGAAACAGGCAAGCCCCTTTCCATTGAAGAGGTTGAGGTAGCATTCAGGTGAGTAGAGACCTTCTTTTGGGTGGAAACAGACAGGGCCCTAAGTACAGACTTGGCTTCTCTTAGGTCAATTCTGTGTGGTATGATTGAGAGGCCTTGGATTTTCTCGTATGCAGGAGTTGTATTTTTAGATTCAGATAAAAACAGGCATTCTCCCAAAAGGACTAAATTTTAATAATGTCAGTAATTTTTGATAGTAGGCTTAAAATTTAATTGAATTATCTTTTTTTTTTTTTTAAGTTGGAGTCTCACTCTGTCACCCAGACTGGAGTGCAGTGGCCGCTCCCAGCCACCGCAGCCTCGACTGTTGGGCTCCGGCAATGTTTCCGCCTCAGCCTTCCGAGTAGTTGGAATTACAGGCATGCGCTACCACACCCGGTTGATTTTTTGATTTATTGTAGAGATGAGATCTTGCCGCCCAGGCGGGTCTCGAACCCACGGGCTCAGGCAATCCACTCACTTCAGCCTCCCAAAGGCGCGGGATTACAGGCTGAGCCACCGAGCCCTGCTTGAATTATCTTAATATTAAATCATTTACCCTAAGAATCAGACAAAGGAATTCACTTTGGATTAGAATTAGGTTTTCTTTTTGTTTTCCAGTTGCTAGTCATTGGAAAGTATGATTAAAAGAAAGAGAATTTGGTCCAAAACAAGAGAGGGAAAACCTCAGCTGCAGAAAGGTCCTAGGTGCCTATAGGAAGGACAGGAGTGGTTTATCAAGGAGAAGAGACAGCATCGAGTAGAGCGGTATCATGGATGGCAAGTTTGGAAAACGTCACCACTTTTTCAAAGCTTGCCAGACTCATATATTCTCTCAGGACTACATTAAGGGTTTTTACATGAGAACGAATGGGTATCCTCATGAACAGAATCTTGAAGAGATGATGCCCGGTGGGGTGTGGTGTGTTTCTTCACAGGGTCCTTGATTTCACCACAGAAAAGAATTTCAGAGAGAGTCCAAAGTATAGTTTAAGAAATAATTTATTAGAAAGAAAAAGACAGGCTCAATAGAAAGCATGGGTCCCTTAAGAGGGCACATGCTTGCTTTTGAAAAGAAACTTTATATACTTTTACAAAAATCTTTAAACAACCATGAGCTAAGAGCAGAGGGCTATAGACATCTCGTCATGAGTTTTGATTACCATCCCTCAAATTTTAAGATCATGAGGACCTTCTAATTATAAAAGTTACTGTCTAACTAGATCTGGGCTTTTCTTTAAAAACATGATGTTTGTATTTTCAGTAATTCCTATTGTTTCTGTGATTTACTGCACTGGTAGTTCAACATTCCAACCCTCAAGGTGGTCAGGTCACTAACTATGTCTGCCTCAGAATAATACAGGGATACACTGGTAATTAATTGAGACAATCCATAATTTGACATCTCTCTCATTACCTCAACTTCATTTCAACAAAATTTGAACAAGCCCTAGAAACCTGTGTTCTGTCCATTCCCTCTGCCCAATAGACTTTAACCTTTCCCTATTACCTTTGATTTTTCCTCTCCTGGAGACAATAATTACCAATCATATCTCTTTTTATGGTTTTCTGACAACAATGGAAAATAGGAAAAAAGGTACATTTTAAGAGGAAAATAATCTAACCCAGTATAATTTTTTATTTTACTTTTCCAAGATGCAATTATTTTCTTGAGCTCTAGAAGCATTGTAAGGTTTCAGAATGACATTAGGCCTAAAATTATATGTAACACATATCCCAATAATATAATTATAGAAACACAACTCAAGGCCAGCTGCAGAGGCTCACACCTTGCACTTTGGGAAGTTGAAGAAACAGGTTGTGTAAGTCAAAGAGTTCAAGAAACACAACTCAAGTCTGTGATTGCTTTGTAGATAATTGCTGCTTCTGTGTGCCATACTGATGCCCACGTTATTGATCCTAAATTTAAGGATGGTCGTCTCCCAGTTATCCTTGGCCATGAGGGTGCAGGGATTGTAGAAAGTATTGGGCCAGGAGTGACCAACTTCAAACCAGGTATTGTATTTTATTCCAATGACATAGAAATGCCAGGTTATTTCAGGTATAATTCCTGATAGATTCCTGACTTTGCATTCCTCAATTGATTTCTGCTTACACAGGGAGACCATCTTTTCCAAAGTAGAACTGAGACACACAATCTATCACTATCTAACAGTGGGGCAAAATATTTTAAATCAAAGCTTTTTAATAAATTCTGGAAATTTGGGGCACTTTATTTACATACAGCACTGAGTAATTGTCCTATGAAGCTAAGTTACAAGGTTAGTTTAAACTGAAACTTCCATTTTAAACAAATGACACTTTATAACAACTTTCACATAAAACAGAAAACTATTTTAATATTATATAAAAAATGAGGACTTAGAGATAGCTTAAGTGAGAGATGCAGAGGATGCAAAAAAATGTATACACATTTTAAGAAAGGAAAAACTGTATTAAAACTGTAATACTCAGCCGGGGTCGGTGGCTCAGCCTGTAATCCCATGCCTTTGGGAGGCTGAGGTGAGTGAATTGCCTGAGCCCGCGGGTTCAAGACCCGCCTGGGCAACTTGGCGAGACCTCATCTCTACAATAAATCAAAAATTAGCCAGGCGTGGTAGTGCACGTCTGTAGATCCGGCTACTTGGAAGGTTGAAGTGGAAGGATCACCGGAGCCCAGCAGGTCGAGGCTGCAGTGGCCGGGAGCAGCCACTGTACTCCAGTCTGGGTTGACAGAGTGAGACTCCAACTCAAAAAATAAAAATAAAAAAAACTGTAATACTCAATATATACCAATAACAAAAGATGAATACAAGTCACATTTGACTTCTGCAACTACAAGAGGTGCTCAAAGTGGTTACCATCAGTGTCCAGACACTTCTGATTATGGTTAACTAAAAGTAATACAGAGCTAACATCTCTTAAAATGTGTATACATTTTTGGCACCCTCGGTGCAGTATTATACATATGTCAAGGCTAGCTGAAGTGTCTTTTTGGAAATTTTTAAGATTAATAAAAATACCTAAATGAAGCACACCACCAGCTGGAATTATTTACTCCACATTTTAGAACAGACCCACCAAATACTAGAATATGGACTACATAACCTTCACTTATCAGGATGGATGAACCATGTCATTCTTTTCTCTTTAATGAGAATGCTCCAAACTTAGAGGTTTATTAGTATCTTTCCATCCCAAAAAAGATTATGAAAACAAATTGCTCCCCCAAATTTTGCATCCATGAAAGAGTCTGGCCAGTGAGATTCCTTTAGTCCTAACTCTGCCACACTAGCTGTGTGACCTTGATCAGTTATGTTACTTTTCTGGGATTCCACTCAGATTTTTGTTTTCAAAAGTATGGATAATAACAGTACCTATCTCAGAGAGTTGTTCTGAGAATTAAGTGAGATGACACATGTTGGTAGTTAGAATGGTGACTGGTATATACTAAATTTTGATCAAATGTAAACTATCATCATTGGCTCTTGGTCATCAAGAAACAGAAGCCATTATTAAATTGTAATGGAGTAAAAAGTGAGAAAATGTGAAATTTGAGAGCGAATCAAAATGGTGAAACATGGCAATGACATAAAGCTGACCCTATATCTAACCTATTATTATTCACTTCTCCTATTATATAAGGATGTTATGGGGAGGGAGGGTGTTTGTTTGGGTAGTTTTTTGTTTTCGTTTTTTTGAGTTGGAGTCTCTCTGTTGCCCAGGCTGGAGTGCAGTGGCACGCTCACAGCCACCTCAGTCTTGACCTGCTGGGCTCAGGTGATCCTTCCACCTCAGCCTTCCAAGTAGCTGGAACAACAGGCATGCACCACCACACCTGGCTAATTTTTCTGATTTGTTGTAGAGATGAGGTCTCGCCAAGTTGCCGAGGCTGGTCTCGAAACTGTGGGCTCAGACAGTCCTCTCACCTTAGTCTCCCAAAGTGCTGGGATTATAGGTGTAAGCCACCACACCCAGCCGGATGTTCTGTTTTATACAAGGTGATTGGAGATGTGATTTAAAAAAAACAGAGAGTCATGTTGTAGATAGTTGCAATGACAGCAGAATCTCAGGCAGGAATCTGCATCTGATGATATCAGTATAGATTTGTTGCTTGACTGTGCAGCAGAGTAATTTTTATTTATTTATTTTTTTTTTTAATTTATTTTTGAGTTGTAGTCGCACTCTGTCGCCCAGACTGGAGTGCAGTGGCCGCTCCCGGCCACCGCAGCCTTGACCTGCTGGGCTTTGGCGATCCTTCCGCCTCAGCCTTTTGAATAGCCGGAATTACAGGCGTGCGCTACCAGGCCCGGCTAATTTTTTGATTTATTGTAGAGATAAGGTCTCGCCTGCCCAGGCGGGTCTCGAACCCGCGGGCTCAGGCAATCCACTCACCTCAGCCTCCCAAAGGCGCGGGATTACAGGCTGAGCCACCAAGCCCGGCTCAGAGTAATTTTTAAAAAGTACAACACATGCAATACTTGGGGGGAGTCTGCAATCTTGTAAGGTAATGCAATATTGTAACCACCTGTACTTTCTGCTGAATATAATATAATATAGTGCATACTATAAAGAAACTGTGTTTTCCACTGACTCATCTGGTAGATGCTATAAATAACATCTCAGACACTATCCGATATATGGCCTTTCTTCCTAGGTGACAAAGTAATTCCACTCTATGCATCTCAATGTAGAAAATGCAAGTTTTGTCTGAGTCCACTCACAAATATTTGTGGAAAACTCAGGTAAGCTCTACACACTGTTAGTAAGGGTATACATTCATACAAATATTTTGGGCAGCACATTGGCAGAACCTAATGGAGTTGAAGAGGTATAAACCTTCTACCCATCAATTCTACTCATAGGTTACACAAGACACAGCTACAAATGCACACAGAGAAACGCATGCTAGAATGCTAATAGCAAACAATTAAAAACAACACAAATGCCCATCAATAAGAAAATGTATTTTAAAACTGCTATGTGGTAACACAATGGAATGCTATGTAACAATGAAAATGATGAAACTTGAAATACATTCATTAACACAGAACAATCTCACACAAACAAGTTGCTGATAGATATATTTAGCAAGGTGTCATATATAAAAACAATACTATACATTGTGTATGGTTAGTTATATGTGTATGTAGTAAAAGTATAAATAAATCACTGGAATAATGAATGCCAAATCCAGAATAATAGCTACTTCTACAGGGATGAGAGAGGGATGCAGAGAGGAACAGTAAAGTTATTTATTCCAAGCCACATAGATACATATCTTAGAACCAGGTTGCTAATGCAAGCAGTACAGCTCCAGAATCTAAAATCTTGATCACCTCATTTTTACTTTACTAAGACTATGGAAGGATCCTCTTGTCCTTGAGGTGAATTGAGAGTAGTTGTTTAAGAAACTAAAACTGCACTACTCTTACATCTATTAATGTGTCACAATCTTTTCATCTATAAAATTGGGGTAAACAATGTCTACTCCATAAGATTGTTGTAGATATTCAAAGAACTAATACACTCTTTTGCAATCCTTTAATGAAGTAATGGATTTAAACACTTATCAAAAATTATTTCTAATATAATGATAAAAAGAGAGATAATTAGATATCATGTCCTTTCAGATGAACTACATAACAACACCTATAAAGTATCCCCACAAAAATGTAACAACTGAGTCAGATCAAGTGTTTAGATCAAAAGTACTAATTTAAGAGGAAATATAGGGACAGAGAAATATGTTAAACTAGATTACAGGAATGTAATCAGCAAAATTCAGGATGAGAAAAACTTTGTAGGACAAATGACTCAGCTTCTTCAACAAATAAACTGCAAGGAGGAAAAGGGTAGGAAGGAAGAAATCTAGAATTTAAGACACTTAAGAGACATTTCAACCAAAAACAATGACCTAAAATAATCTTTAAGCGATAGGCACTGAAATATTTAGAGGTTAAAGAGTGATGTCTGGGATTTGCTTCAAAATATTCCAGTGCAGGGGAGGGAACTGGTATTCTGGAGGAGTAGTTGGCCAGGAGTTGATAGTTACGGAACTGGCAGATGAGTACATGAGGGTTCATTAAGCTATTCCTTCTATTTTTATATATATTTGAATGTTCTATAACAAAAAAAAGTGTTAATACATGTAAAGCCCTTAAAAGGGCTTTTCTGACACACAAAAAACATGCAATAAGTTTGTTGTTATTATGTTTAAAATACTACATATATATTATGTATAAAGTCTTTAGTTTTTTCCTCAATTTTTCCATCTTCTAAAATTGTCATGACAAGTATATAATGCTCAACATATTTTTTGAAAGTGATCACTGTTCCATTTACTTTCTCTTTCTTTGTATATCTCTCTTTTTAAAATTTGTTAGATTACTTAAAAATCCTGTTGCTGATCAAGCAGTAATGGATGATGAAACCAGCAGGTTTACCTGCAAAGGAAAACCAGTTTACCATTTCATGGGAACCAGTACATTCACTCAGTACACTGTGGTGTCAGATGTTAATCTTGCCAAAATAGATGATGATGCAAATTTAGAGAGAGTTTGTCTGATTGGTTGTGGATTTGCAACTGGCTATGGGGCTGCAATCAACACTGCCAAGGTAAATGGCTAAGCACAAGGTTGTGGGAAACACATTACTAGGAGGGAGTGTGATGTAAAGGAACTAGAGTTAATGTCTTCAGCGTCTGGCTATGTCATGTATTACCTCTGTGATTCTAGGCTAGTTATTTAACCTCTCTAGAATAATTTCTACAATAGTTATGGGATAATTAGAGCCTATTGTGTTGGACTGATGCATAAATTTGTAGCGTTTTTGCTTGCCCATGTAATGCAAATGTCATGGCAATGGTTGAGTGGTCACAGTTCATCACATTTATCAATTTTTGTGTGAACTGATATGAATCATTGTGGATTAAAGCATTTAAATGGTCTTCACCAAAGCCACATTGTCATCCTGAACGTGAAGAATTACTCAGGTCAAAGTGGTCCTCTTTGAAACAACAAAACCGTTGGTTTTTGTTTGTTTGTCACCATGCTTTCCCCAATGGCATTCTCCCTGTACATGGCACAAATGTTTTGAGCCACCTCGGCTGCCGTTACTCCTCTGTTAAACTCAAACAGAAGAATATATTGGAAGTGTTCATTTTTTCCCACTTCGCACTCCATCTTCTTTAGTCACAAATAGCATTAACTTTTTTCAAATCTGCCAAATGCAAGCCATATTCACAAGCACAACATTGTCGCTCCAGATGACAAATGACAAATTATATATACAGACTCCCAACACTGCAGTGCATACAAATGCTACAAACTTATGCATCAACTGATATATGCAAAGCATCTAACCCAGTAGCCAGCATATAGTTGGCACCTAGGATATATTCCATTCTATACTAGCATATTAGGCTGCAGGATGTCCCTAATTTAAACAAAGCCTACTTAAATATGTCTCCTAAATATGAACACCCTAAAAGAATCTTTTAGAGATATATACTGAAATCCTAGGACAGCTGACCCAGTCAAAGAGCAATAGCAACTGCAGAAACCCACTCCCATCTTCATACACACAACCAACCCTACCTGCTCCCTGATGCTACAGATTTCTCTCCCTCCATCAGTAGTAATTTATCTCTGCTTGCCATCCTGTCCCTCTATGGTATCAAAGGAGGGTCTCTGATGCTGGCAAAATGTGTGCCTGGAAGCCCATGTGAGCCCTGGAAGCCCATGTGAGAATTCAGGAACTCTTACTAAAGCTGTCTAAGCCAAAACTAGAGAGATATCAAAGAGGCATCCCACAATTGGATGCCTCAAACAACCTTCCTTATTTGAGCCTCCCTGACATCAGTCTTTATCCCTAACTCAAAACTACAAAACGCAGCCAGGGTGATCTTTCAAACAAATCTTTCAAACAACAAATCTGAAGATGTCATTTTTCTTGCACTATTTCCTTTTTCACTCAGGGTGAGGTCAGGTTCCTCCATAGGTTACAGTGACTCCCTACTTCTGTCTTTCCACTGCTCACTGTTCCCTGGCTCTGCCCTGAGTCTCCAGGCTCTGGTCCCTATGGTCTCTGGACTTTCCACTCCTGCCACCAACATTGCAAGGAAGACTCCCCCAACTCCTGGCTGACTCACCTAGATATCACTTCCTGTAAGAGACCTGCTTCAGCCTCTCAGGCGTGCATTGAGTGTCCTTCCTAGTTTTCCCCCATCTTTATTTTATGTGTTTTTCCCTGTCTTCATTTTTATCACACTCTGGAGAAACGTCCCATTTATTTCTTTATCCTTTGATAGCATTTGTTCCTTGAGAGCAATAACTCTGTTGTTCATTGAGATATCTCCAGAGGCTGACACCATGCCTGACACACAATAGGAATGAATGAATGGATACAGACAGATGTACATGAAACCCTTAAAACATCCTGGTGAGGCTTAGCCCTCAGCTTTGTCACCCAGAAATTTCTTTTATTTTGTTTTATTTATTTATTTTGAGTCAGGATCTCACTCTGTCATCCAGGCCAGAGTGCAATGGCATGATCACAGCTCACCGCAGCCTCAACCTTCTGAGTTCAGGCAATCCTTCCACCTCAGCCTCTCAAGCGGCTGGGACTACAAGCATATGCCACCAAGCCAGGCTAAATTTTTTTTTGGTAGAGACAAGGTCTCGCTATATGCCCAGACTGGTCTCATACTTCTGGGCTCAAGTAATCCTCCTGCCTCGGCCTCCCAAAGTGCTGGGATAACAAGCATGAGCCACCACGCCCAGTCAGAAATTTCTTTTCATCAGGTTACCTAGAGTTGTTCAGTGACACAGAAACAAAGTCAGCCACACCAAAACAAGATTCTAATCTAGTATCCAAGATATCAAAGTATGACTTTTCATTGAGAATTTCATCTGTCATGCAGACAGAAATGCTACTCTTTACTATAAGCACACTCTCTCTCTTTAAAAATGTATCCATTCATCCCATCATTTATTAATAAAAAATTATATGGGAAATACAATTACAGTCTGAAAGCTGTTAGGGAAAGGGTACTAGTAGTTGGGTGGAGTAAACAGCTGATGTGAGCATGACCATCAAAGCTTGTTCTCTGCTAGACAGCACTGGAGACCAGAGAAGCATCACTTTTCCGCCCTTCTCTTCTGGACTCCATGCAGTCCCTCTCTTCCACTACTCCAGTCCTTTTAAGGGATAGTTGCATTAGAAACTCAGCTACCACTTCATTATTTATTTATTTATTTATTTGTCAGTGATAAGCATTGCATGTATTGGGGGGGTATAATGTGGTGTTTTGATATATGTACACATTGTGGAATAATTAAATCAAGTAATAGCATTGTCATCACCTCACATACTTGCCATTTTTTGTGGTGAAACCATTTAAAATCTATTCTGTGTGCAATTTTCAAATATATAATACACTATTATTCACTGTAGTCACCATACTGCACAACAGATTTCCAGAGTTATTCCTGCTGTCTAATTGTATCTTTGTATCCTTTGACCAACATCTTTTCATTCCCCATCCTTCCCCCCCACCCACCCCCAGACTCTGGTAACCACCATTCTAGTCTCTGCTTCCATTAGTCTGGCTTTTTTTAAAAAGCTCCTGCATATAAGTGAGATTGTGCAATGTCTGTCTTTCTGTGCCTGACATATTTCACTTAGATTAATGTCCTCCAAGTTCATCCATATTGTCACATATGACAAAAATTTCTTCTTTTTTAAGGCTGAACGAGCATTCCATTGTGTATATATACCACATTTTCTTTATTCATTCATCCACTTACGGACACAGGTTGATTCTGTACCTTGGCTATTATGAATAATACTGCAGTGAGCATGGATGTGTAAATCTCATTTCCTTTGGATATAATCACTTCCGATTATATCCACTTAAATTGACTTAACCCCAGGACTGGTTCTTCCCACTGTTAAAGAAGAGATCCTACCTGCTAAACCATATTATGAGAAGCTCAAAGAAGAGAAATGAATCTGACAGGAATAAATTAAAGACAGGGAGATATCAGTAAATCTGCCCAAAAGGCAATAATAAAGTCTAACTTACTTCCGGAAAGAAAATACTACTATACCGCTCTGTATACCCCAGAATCACCAGAACTCTTATTTCTTTTTAATTTTATTTCACCCTTTTCTGCCACAGAGATTTTCAGAAATGTGAAAGTGTACTTTTGCAGTGATACTCATACACTGTGTGTAGCCCTATTTGCAAATTGTGACTCCCCTTTGAGTACTGCAGGCAAAGGCACTTTTATACACAGAGGTCCATACAAGTGGTGCAGAATATTCCATTTGTAAATGTGAGCTGGCCTGTGAATCCAACTTGTTACAACATTGCTGTGATGGGAAAAATGCATTTCTACTTCCAAAGAGACAAGCTCACTTTAACCCAAACTCTGGAGAAATATATTAGGAAACATACTAAACATGTGCCCTGATAGTATAGTAAACAGGCCATAATAAGGACAATATTCTTAATATTTGCAAAATATGTATTTGTATTTCCCTGGGTAGCAAAAGCCAGGGTATGCATGCCTAATGTTATGCATAAAGTAAAATATGTGCATTCTCTCTGTTCCTTAGTAACTTTGTTTCCAATTTAGAATGTATTCACACTGCTCTTGGGCAGATTTTTTCTTTTCCTTTTGTTTGTGCTTTAATCCTAATTCTCATCCTCATTAGGATATACTTAATATTTTAAGTATATCTTTGTAGTATTTTTCTACCACTTTACTATTCTGTAGAATAACATATTCCTGTTATAATATCTTGTCTTACCACCTTGTATATTGTTTCCATTTAATTCAAGGTAACAAAAATTTGTTTAAACATATATTAAAGATTCAAAATACAAAAGACTCCCTGATAACAATGTAGAAGATTAAAAATCTCTGCCTTCACAAAATTTACAGTCTTATAAAGAAATACACACAAATACACTCAAAAATCAAGGCAGATTATAAATTATATGATCTAGGAAAAACAAAAGGTAGGCACTGATTTCTAATTGAACATTCAAGAAAGTTTCATAGAGAGAATGCCCTTGAAGTGAGGCCGAGGAGTGTAGGTTATATTTTATTTAAATAAAGATGAAAAGTATATTAGGCAAAGGGAACAGCGTGAATTAAGGCATGAGGAAAGTACAACAATTTGTTGTGAGTGTTGTACTGAGACTATCATGGAGATGAATATAGAATGTAAACAAAGTTCAGACAATAAAAATTCTTCAATGCCATGCAAGGACATTTGGACTTCATTCCATTTAAATGAAGTGATGATTTGGAATAATCAAGTGAGTCACAATACTATTAACACAATTAAATGAAGCCTATTGGAAATATAGATGGCAAATTACTTGTGATCTGATTTTAAAAGGAAAACAGTAAGCCCTTTAGAATGTGAGGGTTTTTAAATTTTGTTTTGCTAACACTGATGGGAAAAGTAAAACACAGGCATTATTTTCACTTGGGTTTGTTTCTTATGAGCTGATAATCTTAATGGTCCTTAAATAATTATCCAAATTTAGTAGTAATGCATTCATTTTCACATTGGCAGATGTCTTCCACTGGCTATATCATATACAGTTTTATAACAGGAAAGTCTTTAATTCATATGCCATGCCTGCACCTCCCTCTCATCCTTAAAAGAAAAAAAAAGTGGGGTCAGTTGCTTTAAAAGTTACTTTATAATTTTTCTGTCTGTAGGTCACTCCTGGTTCTACCTGTGCGGTCTTTAGCCTGGGAGGCGTGGGGCTTTCTGCTGTAATGGGTTGTAAAGCAGCAGGCGCTTCCAGAATCATAGCTATTGACATCAACAGTGAGAAGTTTACAAAAGCCAAAGCCCTGGGAGCCACTGACTGCCTCAATCCTAGAACCCTACACAAACCCATCCAGGATATCATCATTGAGTTGACCGATGGAGGTGTGGATTTTGCCTTTGACTGTGTAGGTGAATCTGAAGTCATGGTAAGTATATTTTTTCCTTGGATCTAATGTTCTTTTTATTCTTTGGTCATCAAATAATAGGGGACAGTGTCCAGTACAGTAGCTATAATTGTTCCTTCTTAATATTTTCAAAAGTGGTGACAGGGAAATAGAACTGTCAGCTACAATCATCTCCCAACCCCTCAGCTATCCAACATTTCCTTCAATGCCAATTGATGTGTCACCTCCCCCCAAATGCCACTACTACTTTTGTGGGTTAAGATAAGCAGCCATACCAGCACTATTTGTAGATTATTTATAGATGTTGATTTGGGGGGATGCCTTTAAAAAGCTTAATATTAGTTATTGAAAATTATATTTCCTAGTTTTGTTTTTCATGATAATTCCAATTTCCTATTTCTTAAAGACAATTTTGGAGACTTTTAATTAGGTAAAGAAATGTTCCTTTTGACTATTAAGTAAGATAAAATGGCAAGTGCACTAACTAAGTGGCAGGGACTCTTTTGCAAAAGATGTAAATGGATAAATTAACTAATGCAAGGCATAAATAAATAGAAATAAGTACCTGTTCTGCTTCACTATTTTATATATTATATGCATGGTATTAACATTTGTTAATAATATAGTATATCTTTTATATCATAATACATGACATATTTTTATGTAATTATTTATTGAAATTAAAGCATAAATGTATGTGTATACTGATTGATATAATATTCACACATTTATAGATATACATAATAATAAATAACATTTGTTAATAATTGTACTATATATTATACATTATAGAACAATCTATTATAAGTAATGTTTATTAATGTTAATAGATATTTCTAATAGTACTTAATATTAATGTGTTGTTACTATTTCAATTTCTTCTTCTACATGAATCTCACCCAAAACTTAAGAAAAAACTTAACATTTTAAAATATTTGTGCTATATGAGAACCCCACCCAAAAAAAATACAGAAAAGGCCAATTTAGAGGAGGGAGTAAGAGAATGTGACTGGTACTTCCTAACAGCTACAAGGCATCTACTCTCATCTTAAAAAGTAGAGCAGGGAGAGATTAGCAACCTGCTGGCAATTCATCTCTTTCCATCAGAACAGGATGCAAAATTAGGTCTGAAATTTGAAATGTTCTACATCTGAAAAAAAAACCCACAAAATTTGTCTTTTTTTTCCCTGAACACTACAATTTTGTATCACTCAGATTTCTTCTTGACTCAAGACAGGATATATATGACAGGGTGTTTCTGAGTGTGGGGCTCTGAGTGACTGCACTGGTGTCACACCCATGAAGCCAACCCTGCCTCTTCTTCTATCAAAAGTGGGGTGAAGCCAACCACAACATACAGACAATATACGGCAAAGTTCGCTTGCTAGAGTGTCCAGCTTGCTAGAGTGCATCAAATGGGCTACAAAATTAGGTCCAAATGATATATTTGAAACTTTCTATATTTCAAAAAAATAATCAAAAATTTGAAAGTCTTTATGGAAAAGTTAGCTCGCTTAGAGGGCCCAGCCTTATTCTCCAAAGTATCCGTGAATATCACCTAATGCATATTTGCTCAAAGACACTAAGAAGAGTTTTGGTGATTTTTTTTAAGGTGAAATGACCAAAGAATTCATCAACTGAATTATCTGCCTATTGAATCTTCTTATGTAATTAGTAAGAGCTATGAAATCATTGTGAAGTTACTCCTTTTTATGTACACCTTCACTCAGTCTGGCTCCTAAACCCTCCCCTAAGGAAGGTGTACAGAATAAAATTCTGGGCCAGACGTAGTGGCTCAAGCCATTATGTAATCCCAGCACTTTGGGAGGCTGAGGCAAGAGGGTTGCCTGAACTCAGGTGTTTGAAACCAGCCTGGGCAATTGGATGAGACCTCATCTCTACAATAAATCAAAAAATAAGCAGGTGTGGTAGTGCACACCTGTAGTTCCAGCTACTTGGAAGGCTGAGGAGGAAGGATGGCCTGAGTCCAGCAGGTAAAGGCTGCGGCAGCTGTGAACGTGCCAGTGCACTCCAGTCTGGGTGACAGAGTGAGACTGCAACTCAAAAAAACCAAAATAAAATTCTGTACTTCAAGCTCCCAGAAGTAGGCTTTGTGCCAGGTTCTTCCCTTTGCTTCTTACCTAACTGATGCATTCCTCAAAAGAGAATAACACCCAGGAAGAGCTGAGAGCCACACACTGCTTGCTGTTCCTTAGTCACTCTTCTCAAAACAGGTTCATTATAATATATACAAATGGCTTAAAACAGGATCTGTCAAGTGATCAAGTAAACATTAGTAGCTATTACTGAAAACACATGCATTAAGAGCTCCTTCTCCTGCATTGCTCCCGTGTTCCAAGCTTTAAGCCCTGCTTTTAAATTGACATGGATGCCATATCCATTCCTCCACTTCCCGTGGCTCATTTTTTTTAAATGAACATTGAAATTTAGCCTATTAACCTTATTTTCCTGGTAGAGAGATTCTCAACATCAGCTATACATTAGAATTTCCTGAGGATTTTGTTGTTGTTGTTTGAATACCAATAAATGGACCATATCCTAGGATATTCTCATGAATTGAGGACCCAGTAACAATATTTTTAAATAAATTTCTTAACTTGAGAACCAGTAACCTAAAACATGGTATGTCCTATTATTAACTGATATATTATACCTTGAAAGGTATTTTAAATTAAAGGACAGAATTATATTAGAGATTCCAAATGAAAAGGTAATGGATTTATTTAATCACAAAAAGACGAGCTACCTATTCTTTCACCAAAAGTTTTCACAGCTAGGAAATCTATGTTTCTGCATTACAGAAGAGATTCCAGGAATGGGTATGAACTTGATTTCAATGACCTCTAGCCTTCTACAGCAACCTAATGAACCCAACAGAACAATTATAAAGTTATAATAACTGACACTTCTATACTGTTTTGCCAATTCAACTAAAAATAGTTCTTATCAAAAGTTACCAGAGGCTTCTCAATAAAATTATATACTTACAGACAGTACCGATTTTAACAAAGTCATCATCATGGAGGTTAATTCATTGCTTAAAGCAAAGCTTAAAATTGTAGAAAAAGCAACAGGGAAAAAAACTGGAAAAAAAAAGAAGTCAATGAAAACAACTACTTTAAGGGGACAAGTAGTTCCTGTGGTCTTTTCCTCTCTCCATGGATCACCCTATACAGTATATGTATATGTATGTGTTTGTATGTCACACACACACACACACACACACACACACACACACACACACACACAGAAAAATGTTTCTGCCATACAAAAAGTGCAGAAAAGTAAAAGCATTACTAATTTAGTAGTGTTAGGAATTCACAAAATAATAAACACATATTCAAACAAAAACTTCAAAACACATCCTAAAAGTTCTAGTCCATCGCATCTTCTATCACTAGTGTGTGTATGTGTGTTTGACAGCAAGAGAGAGACATAGTAAGACAGAGAGACAGAAAAAGGAAAAACAAGGAAGAGAATTTACCATACTTCAAATTGCTTCTATCATATGGTGATCAATGATAAGAAGTTGTACTTTCTATTGGGACTTTTACAAAAGTAAAAATTGCCCCACAGGACAGAACCAAGTTGCTTGCAAGGTATATGAGACAAAGTATATACCTTTATTCTATAATATCAGTCTCAAAATATTACACATGTTCATTTATTTACCTTAGGGCATTCTGTGTGGGATGGCCATTCACACATTTATATTTCTTTCAAACTTATTTATATTTTCAATCCTTGACATTTTTATATTAACCCAAAACTTGCAGTAAGTTAACATAACAGCAGTTTCTCTTTCTCTAATGCAAAGATCACAGTAGGTTCAGGCAAATCCCCTGCACTACTGTCTTCCAGTAGTGACTCAGCAATCAAGGAAGTTCAAAGTTGTGGCTTCACAAGGTCAACAAGAGGCCATCTTGGTTGAGAAGGGATGGTTGGCAGGTTGCAACCTAACTGTAAGAGGGCTGAACAACATAGGAAAGAGGATGAAATATCTGAACAGCGGCAACCAGTGTTATTTTCTAAACCTTTTTTTTTTTGCCCTTTGTTTTAAATAGCATCTCTTTATATTTATCCTAATTTGAGATCTACTAAGTGTACAGTATGTGTCTTATTTCTTAGGCTCTAGTGAATATGTGTTCATTCTTTCTCCGTGACTTTAAAGATGTTGATCCTAGGCCCCCAGAATGGCAAATATTTTAGTATATCTAAAAGTTCTAGATCATTGCATCTTCTATCCAAGAGAGAGAAATGAGGAAGAGAATTTAGGATCATCAAAAGGTGTTGATTAAAGTTTATAATATCTTTTATAGATAATTCCTAACCCAATGTTTGTGTTTCTCTTGATACGCAAAAATATATACTCTAGATTTAGCCTAACTATGATATTACATAGGGTATAATAATATATTCTGTTTCTTTTCAATATCGTTTTTGATAAAGCTCAAAATTGTATTGAATGTTCTATTTATAATGGAACACTAGAGCCTCAAGTTTCAATTAGTGTGAATCCAATTATCTCATATGCAGAGTTAGATAAATTTTCCCTAAAGTATTTACATACCCACTCTAGAGTCCATATTCTATTTTGCTGCTTACTCAGATCGTCTTTTATGTTTGATCTTCCAGACAGCTGTCGTGGACTGCACAACAGTAGGCTGGGGGTTATGTACCTTCATTGGAGTAGCAGCTGGTGACAAAGGGTTGACCTTCTCTCCAGTGGAGTTAATAATGGGCCAGACGCTAAAAGGAACATACTGTGGTGGTCAGTTTTGTTTTGTTTTACCATAGTCTTTAATTTTCTTACAGTAGTACTGAATTCCTAAGAGTGAAGATTATGGAAAGGAAATAAAATAGTTTGTTTAAATACTGAGCATCTAGAACATATGTAAAGACTATACAAAAAAAAAAACTATTAATCACTTGAAAGTAAACAGTTTATATAGAAAGATGACTAGGATTTGCAAATTCAAATGTAATTTGCATGTAAACAAACCAGCATAGAGGAACAAAAGGTAAACTTTGACCTAATTGAGATAATTTATCTAGAGTGGAAAAGAATTAATATTTCTTATAAAGAACATTTTTTTAAAATAGATATTAAGTACAGGAAATTAAAGGTGAAAGAAAGTGTTTGATCTATTTGAACCAACCCAAATCTGACCTAATAATTTCATGTGTTCAGTAAATACAGGTTAAACTACTTCTTTATGTAAATGCCATGTCTTTCTTTATTTGGCATTTTGGCCAAATTACAGGTTGGAAAAGTGTGGATTCTGTTCCAGAGCTGGTTACTGACTACAAAAATAAGAAATTCGATCTGGATGCATTGGTGAGCCATACCCTGCCTTTTGATAAAATCAATGAGGCATTTGACCTAATGCACTAAGGAAAAAGGTAAATTACCAAATAGGTGACTGAATGGTTTGGAAAACATTTATGATGATTCTATTTTTTACTTGATTTTAAGAACTAACCAATTTGTTTTTTCTGATACTTTCCACATGAGAGGTAGATTAAATATTGATCATTTGGGAAAAAAAGAAAAGCTTCCATATTAATAATGCACACTGCTATATGCTATTACAACATAGAGTCACCACTCTGTGGTGACACATATTTAAATTGACACATATTTTTCCTTTCCCAATGAGAGCTGTCTATACTAATAGTGTTAGATCCCTCTGGTACAATGTACCAAGTCTGGAGTCATCATGTTCTGCAGTTGGACAGAGTGCCCACTCCAGACCCTTCATGATCAGAGGCGGGTGAAAACCATGGAGATGGCCAGGCTTGGTGGCTCAGCCTGTAAACCCAGCATTTTGGGAGGCTGAGGAGAGTAGATTGCCTGAGTCCGTGGGTTCAAGACCAGCCTGGGAAACTTGGCGAGACCTTGTCTCTACAATAAATCAAAAATTAACCGGGGTGGTAGTGAGTACCTGTAGTTCAGGCTACTTAGAAGGTTGAAGCGGAAGGATTGCTGGAGCCCAGCGGGTCAATGCTGGGGTGGCCGTGAGTGTGCCACTGCACTCCAGCCTGGGCAACAGAGTGAGACTCCAACTCAGAAAAAAGAAAAGAAAACCATGGAGACATGAGCAGTGAGTGGCAGGGACCAGATACGTAATTATGTCACAACTCTCTTGCTTTGTCATGGGGCTCTTATAAGATACCCTCTGATCCATTATTTTAGCGATGTTATGCTCACTTGTCATGGATCACAGGAACTGATTTATAGAAATGTCCCAAGTGGTTGATCCCTGGTTGGGGAATTGACAAGACTAGAATTAATGTTTTAGGTAAAATCTTTAAGCATAGCCTTGATCAATAGAAGCAAAACAAAAACACCAAAAACAATGGTACATAGAGGAGATGCAAGACAAAGAAAAAAATGAAAAGGGAAGACATAACAAAAGAGAGGAGGGGGAAAAACATAAAATAAAAGTAAAATGGCAGGAGCTTGAAGTAGAGAATAAATGCTGCAGAAAAAGTAGGTTCATGGTATAAGGACGTAGGCTACTTCACAAAGAAACCTGAGAAAATATCCCCACTGACATGAACTTCCTGATTTGCAGACATGTCAACTGCAACATATCAAAAGAAGTTCAATAAAATAAAAGCAAAATTAAGCATTCTTTTGAAAGCTATACTATGTAAACTTAGCACATAACCCCGTAATACATATCTCAATATAACCATAAGGACTATTTAAGTTAGAAGTTGGATTGGGGCTTGGGGTCTTAGACCTTTGTACTCACATCCTCCATGACAACCTCTTTCCCCAAGGTTCTCAATCATGAAATGGACCCAAAAGGAATGCTCAGTGGCAGCCAAATGGAAAATGTTGCATTACTTTATTAGTAGGTGGTCAAATCCCCATATTCTGCAAGGAGACTTCTTTTGAGAGAGAAGCATGAGTGGGGCCTCCTACTCTACTCTGGCCCACTGAGAACACCATCTGACACAGATGGAAAGGTAGTAAAGAGGAAGGAAGATGACAAGCCTTCTCAGTATTCACATATGAGTACAGGAAGCCCAAGAGAAGGCAGGCCCTCCTACCACACCAACTGCATAGAAGAAAGGAAGTGGAGGTAAGGGGATGAGGCACAATGACCAAGTGGCCCATTGAGGTGCAGTGACCCTGCCCTAGGGTGAGGAAAGAACACAGAGGTTCTCCTTCCACAGGTCAGGGAAGCTTCCACTTCCTGGATGAAGGAAACATCTGTGCGCAGCATCCTGCTGACGCCAGGGATTCCACAGCTCCAGCAGTAATGTCTGAGATGAAGAGTTCTCTGACCTTGAGGCTGATCTTCTTCTTTGCCTCTGCATGTTGGATTATCCAGGAGTAAGAACACTGGGTGCTCAGAAAAGAGCATCCCAGCATATAAACTTTGAAGCACACCTCCCTTTTCTGTTAACTGTGGGAGATCCATAAACAGTGACCATTCCAAGACTCCTCACTCCCCCTTGGTACACTCTTCTCAACAGCACCACTGAGAAACAAAGAGCTCACCCAGGGTTGAGCAAGGGTCCCCAAATTCCCTCCAGTTTACTAGCACTGTCTATAAAATATTATTGATGCCATAAATGGAAGAGGATGACAAGATCAAAGAAATTAGGTTGAACAAAACAGGTGTCTGTAAAGGAAGACGAGATCCTGAAATGAAAAATAAAAATAATTGGTGGGCTTTGGTTAAATGTATCATGAAAATTATACTTATTAATGTATTATTATTATTAACAGCATCCGAACAATCCTCACCTTTTGAAAATGCCAAGAGCAATTTGGAATACTATCTGATTGAATCTGAATATTGGTTAACATGGTTAATTTATTACCTGAAATGATGAACCAAGGAAAGCTATGAGTTTAAGCAAATATTTACAGTTAATTTCTCAACATAAAATAGCTTTAAATATTACAATATTTGTACCCATGATATATACTCATATTTCCTATGTTAAATAGCTATGATAACTAAAGAGTTTATGAATAGAATCATATAATGTTTAGAAATTGTTTAAAACTAGTTCAGGGAAGGTAAAAGTAGAGAATAAAGGGATAATTAATAAAACTAAAGTAATACTAAGTTAAAATTAAATTGACTATATGTTTATAATTTTTGAGGTTGGGTAGTGAATATTTGGGATTTCATTACTGTTTTCTCCACAATTGTCTATGCTGAAAATTTTCCACAATAAAAAAAAAATTGTCACTGGAAAAAAATCACTTTACATATTTATATATATTAAATGCTATTATATAATTTCTGTATTCCAATAAACTACAAGTTATTCTTTAGAAATAAGCTGCTAAATAATTTTCTTTTTTTACATCTGCTAATTTCTTTTCTCTTTGCCCCACTCTACCACTATTAACTACAATCACAAGTAGTGGGTTATCTGAATCTATGTAAAGGAAGATATTGAAAGAAAAAAAAAACACACCTATACACTCAAGTTTTTTTCTCTATGAAACAACTGCCCTTTCATCTTTGTTATTTATTAAAACATGTAATGTTGAGTGCTGTACAATTTAAAGATCTATAATTGACACTAATTAATTCTATTTTCTATAGTCAATTAAAAGTGATAAAAATATTTACAGTTATAAGATTTAACAGATAAAAGTAGCAAAATTGAAACTTTTAAGCTATTTAAAAAGGATAAGATAGACAATTTAGATCAAATTAATAAAGACTAGTTCTCACTGTAGTAATTTCTGAAAACTAACAGTTTTCTTTAAAAATTGTTTACCGGTAGGGCGCGATGGCTCAAGCCTGTAATCCCAGCACTTTGGGAGGCCCAGGCGAGAGAACTGTCAGAACCCAGGGATTCGACACCAACCCGGGCAACTTGGGGAGACCTCATCTCTACAATAAATCAAAAAATTAGCCGGGCATGGCAGCACACCTGCAGTTCCGGCTACTTGAAAGGCTGAGGCAGAAGGATCACTGGAGTCCAGCAGGTTGACTCTGCAGTGGCTGTGAGCACGCCACTGCACTTCAGACTGGGCGATGGAGTGAGATTCCAACTCAAAAATAAAAAAATAGTTTACCATATGTTGACCTCTGAGAGAAGATAAACATCTCTGAAGTTTTGGCTGAGGAAGATAGTAATATCTCAAAACAGAAATGTATATTCTTGCTTATTTAAGATTCTCTTTCGCTGGGCTCGGTGGCTCAGCCTGTAATCCTGCGCCTTGGGAGCCTGAGGTGAGTGGATTGCCTGAGCCTGCGGGTTCAAAACCCGCCTGGGCAACTTGGCGAGACCTCATCTCTACAATAAATCAAAAAAAAGTCAGCTGGGCGTGGTAGCGCATGCCTGTAGAAGGCTGAGGCAGAAGGATCGCTGGAGCCCAGCAGGTCGAGGCTGCGGTGGCCAGGAGCAGTCTGGGCGACTGAGTGAGACTCCAACTAAAAAAAAAAATTCTCTTTAATTAGAAATGGAAGCTAGCTACTCTACGCTTCCTTTGTTGGCATTGTGGGGACTATGATTCACCCCACAAGCCAAGGGTCTTTTTCATGCAATTTCCTTTATCAGTGCCCTTCTTTCTCCTCATTCCTTTCCTCCTCTCCTTTGCTTCCTTGAATCCTTCCTAGGTTCCATTTGAAACCCACAAGGTTCCATTTGAAACCCACCTACTTTTCATATCTTTGTAGCCACAAAGCTGTTTTTTCATTTCCTGATCTCCTTTGGCACTTAGTGTCTTTATCAAAATCTTAACGTGCTGATTTAGTTGTTAGTTTTTCAGGCATACGTTTGTAAAGCCCTTGAAAGCAAAACAATCTGTCTATCAGAGATGCTCAAATTCTGATTGTTCTTAACAGAGTTGTTAGAATTTTATAAAATCAATGAACCCTAAGTGATATGCATGGGTTTAAGACTTAAGTTTGATCATTCTTTTAGCAGTAGAGTCTTTTTTTCTCATCCATGCTCCCCACTAGCAAACCCCATAGTAAACGTAATTATAGTACAACAATGTCTACATTGTTCAAATATATTGCCCTCAAAATGAAACATGAATGCTGAATCTTTATATGATACTCCAGAGACAACAAAAATTAGATCTCAATAATGAAATTGGCAATATGAAGAAAAATTCACTTAAGAACTATACTTCAAAGACATAAGTCTGCCCACTACTGACAGTTGTCTACTTTTCCTGAGTGTTCTCACATTCATTCTTCACTTAAAGAATAGTACTTTTTTTCAAGACTAGGGGTAACACAAGTTACAATATTTCAAAGGAGTCATGCCACTAAAACAAAATTGGAACGAAATTTGACCCCTCCAAAAGAAAAAGAAACAAAAAAATGTTATTTGAAAGGTTTGACAACAAACACTGGAAATCCTAGCCAGAACAATGAGGCAAGAGAAAGAAATAAAAGACATTCTAACTGGCAAGGAGGAAGTCAAAGTATCTTGGCTCACTGACGACATAATTGTGTACCTAGAAAATCTATAACTGTATACCTAGGAAACTCCTCCAAGAGACTTCTAGACTTGACAAACAATTTTAGTAAAGTTTCAAGACAAAATTGGTAGCATTTCTTTATACTATACCAATAATGCTCAGGCGATGAACCAAATCAAGGATTCAGTCCCACTTACAATAGACACACACACACACACACACACACAATACTTAGGAATACACTCAACTAAGGAGGAAAAATCTCTACAAGGAGAATTACAAAACACTGATGAAAGAAATTGTAGATGACACAAACAAATGGAAGAATATTCCATGCTAACGGATCAGAAGAATCAATATCATTAAAATAACCATACTGCCCAAAGCAAGATTGCTTTGGATTCAATGCAATCTCTGTCAAATTACCAATAACATTTTTCACAGAACTAGAAAAACAATCCTAAAGTTTACATGGAACAACAACAACAAAAAAGCCTCAATTGTCAAAGCAATCCTAAGCAAAAGGATTGCATTGCCTGGCTTCAAATTATACTTACAAGGCTATAGTAACTAAAACAATATGGTACAGGTACAAAAATACAGATCAATGGAACAGAGCAGAAAACCCAGCAATAAAGCCACATACCTACAATCAACTGATCTTCAACAAAACCACCAACAACAACAAAAAACAATGGAAATAGAATACCCTATTCAATAAATGGTGCTGGAAAAATTGACTGGCCATATGCAGAAGAATGAAACTGAATCCCTACCTCTCCTCATAAATAACAATTAACTCAAGAGGGATAAAAGACTTAAAGATAAGACCTGAAACTATAAAAATCCTAGAAGAAAACCTAGGAAAAACTCCTCAGGACATTGGCCTAAGCAAAGAATGAAGACCCCCAAAAGCAAATTCAAAAAAATAGACAAATGGGATTTAATTAAACTAAGAAACATCTGCACGGCAAAATGAATAATTAACAGAGTGAACAAAAACCTACAGAATGAGAGAAATTATTTGTAAATTATGCCTTAGACAAAGGACTTATATCCAGAATTTACAGGAAAACCAACAACCCCACTAAAAAATGAGCAAAGGACACAGACACTTCTCAAATGAAGACATACAAGCAGCCAATAAACATAGGGAAAAAATGCTCAACATCATTAATCGTCAGAGAAATGTAAATTAAAACCACAGTGAGATATCATCTTATACCAGCCAAAATAACTATCATTAAAAAGACAACAACAGATGTTGGTGGATGTGGAGAGAAGAGAATGCTCAGACACTGTTGGTGGGAATATAAACTAGTTCAACCTCTAAAGAAAAACAGTATGAAGATTTCTTAAAGAACTAAAAATAGAACCACGATTCATCCCAGCAGTCCCACTACTGGGTATCTACCCAAAGGAAATCATCATTTTAAAAAGACACCTGTACCCATATGTTCACCACGGCACTATTAACAATAATAAAGTAATGGAACTAACCTGAGTGCTCATCAGTGGTTGACTGGATAAAGAAACTGTGGTCTATATACATCATGGACTACTATGCAGCCATTTAAAAATCGCAAAGATTTCCTTTGCTGCAACAGGGCTGGAACTGGAGGCCATTATCCTAGGTGAACTAACTCAGAAACAGAAAACCAAACACTGCATGTTCTCACTTATAAATAGGAGCTAACAGTAGTTACTCATAGACATAAAGATGGAAATAATAGACACTGGGGACACAAAACAGGAAGATGGGAAGAGGGGTAAGGGTACAAAAACTACCTGTTGGGTACAGTGTTCACTATTCAGGGTTGGAAACATCAGAAGCCCAGGCCCCACTAGTATGCAATATGCCCAAATAACAAACATGCACTTATACTCCCGAATCGAAAATTAAAATTTTAATTTAAAAAAAATAAAAAGAAATAAGCCAACAAAAACAAACAAACAAAAGATTTGATGGACAATCTATTTTCTGTTGTTCAAAAGAATTTCTTCAGTTACCTCTCCCTCTCTCCAACTCTGGTTTCTTTAGAGGTTGAACTAGTTTATATTCCCACCAACAGTGTCTGGTTTGCTCTGGTCCAAACATTGAAAATCTGCTCTCAAACTTTACCTGTACGATGACCACTTATGTACCTAACCCTGTATTGTACTCCGCATCTTTATAAAATAAAAATAGGGAGCACAAACACACACACACGCACACACACACACATACGAAAGAAAAGAAAATCTGCTCAAAATACCTAAGCCATGGTCCTTCAGAATATTAAAGATTATTTAGTTTTCAGGAAATAAAAAATTGTATTTTCCAATACAATAAGATACATTGGGAACGTCTGG